CGGTTAAGAAAATTTAACCGCCCTCAGCGTTGAAATTGGGGCAGGGGATCAGACTATTGTTATCGTCGCCTGAGACTCAATACCCGCACGTGCGCAAGTGACGACTCTCCCGCTTTAAATGAGTTTACATACAAAGAATAACATTATTTCGGTTATATCTATAAGTAAACAAAATACGGGAACCATTATACGCAATATAATCAATTATTATAAAGATCGGTTTATTAATCAAATTATTATTATTCTCTCGCTGCACAGGACAGTGTAATGACCCTGAATCACCAGAAAATGGCGGGCACGACGGAAGCTATCCATATACGTCATATACAACGGTCAATTTTAACTGTAACACTGGGTATACTATGGTTGGCAGTAGTTCCCGTACGTGTACCAATGGAATGTGGGACGGTGCCAACCCATCATGTCGACGTAAGCATGTATTTGTAACAGTTGATTGCTTTCTTGAAGAGAAACAATATGGACAAAAATGAATCCTGGCGTCAGCATTTATCTCGAAACTACCGCTACATTTCGGGAAGTTCCCATATTTACTAATTATAAACGCTATTCAAACTTGTTGGTTGATAGTTGGCCAATAAACAAATGATAAATATCTTGGTAAATATTAATAGCTTTACTATCTGTGGGTTTCAATGTTACGTGATTGTTCGAGTTTATTTTATTCAGTCTGGCCGGTTCGTCGTGCAATAATCTATAAAACAGTACTCCCTATTTCTATACACCCAATTACTGCAGTTCTGAGGTCGTTATAAGTCACTTGGTGGAATGCTGCTACACTGAGTTTGTCACCATGACAGAAATGCGAACGAGCCTTTGCGATTTTCTGACGTAATTAAAAACACTGTGTCACGCAGCATAAACGCCCAAATCTTTTGTCCAAAAAATAAAAGAAAAATAGCAATTTACAATGGGCAGTATCTCACAAGGTTGAAACGGGTCTTCAGAAATTATTCCGGATGTTTGTTTCATTGTTTTGTATCACATTCATGTCTAAGTTGGCAATGATTTAGGAAGCCTGTCACTCTTTCAGTTGCATGTGGTCAAGTTACTCCGCCGACCCATGGCGAGGTCTCACCCAACCCCAGAGACGGTTACTACGAAGCCGGTACCATAGTAACCTTTCATTGTGATGACGGATATACGGTGTCACCACGTTCGGAAATCACGTGTTCTACGTTCGGGAACTGGTCCGATCCTCAACCAAGATGCCTATGTGAGTTTTCCGGAAAAAATGGTTTTAACAAACGTAATTGTATCGAATTGTTGACGTGAGTTAATTTTTAAAAGTTAAACCAACATAGAGGACAGTGTTTATGCAATATGTTAATAACAAACGAACATAAGAATATTCTTGCGTCGCTATTTTCCAACAATAATAAGTCACCAACTTCTGATTGGCTTATCTCACACCGCAACAGTATCTCTCTACGACACACATGTAATTTTGTTTTGAATGGTCGGTATGCGCAACGCGTGAATGAAAGAACCAACCAATTGCAATGCTCAAGATTACAATGCATACATATGCGCATATTAGACTCCTCCATTATTTTTTTGTAAAATGGGGAGGGCAAATGGAAATTGGCGAGCAAACTGTTATTCTCTTTACCGGATAAGGAAATATTTGCAATAGCTGAATAAATGACGTAGTACACAGTCACAGATATAATATCTACATGTAACCACCATTATGTGCAATTATTGTCAAGCACTGTAATGTCATTCGTCGGTGCGTACACATACCAGAATAACTGACAACAACGTTGTCTTCACAGCACCGTGCTATAACTATGACATAGATAATGGTATTACAACTATCAATGACCCAAACGACAAGTACACCAGTGGAGATGACGTAGTATACATACACGGAAGCATAATTACGATGTCATGTGACAATGGATATACTTTATATGGACTGACTATGTCACAGTGTAACGATGGAGCGTGGACGCAGACGGCCTCTCACTGCAAAGGTATCGCCGTTCAATTTGCATAACTTGAGCATTGTTTGGTAGTTGTGTTGCATATTGATTTACAGACTAAATTTATTGATTTACTGAAGTTTAATTTTGGCGGCACACGGAGAAGTACTTGTTTGATGAAATTAATCATGAACTACGTAAACGCACATGCAATGAGAAATTATAGTACGCACGGACAAACAAACGATTTATTTATTTATTTATTTATTTATATTTGTTCGACTATCAGGTTGTGAGTTGCCCGGCGTGCCACTACATGGCGACGCACCGATGAAAACCCCACCAGTTCAGGGTTTTGCACATTATGACGTTCTGTACTTCAATTGCCCAATTGGTAAAACCTTATTTGGACCTGACAGTATCACGTGTCAACCTGATGGTTCGTGGTACCCTCTTGTGAGCATTCAGCCTCCGTGCTTATGTAAGTATCCGCGTCTTTGTCGTTCTTTCATTCTCTTTTCAGAAGATTATATACACCATTGGCGTGCTGCAACCAAGGCGTTTTTTTTTTTATGTCGACCAAACTGTGTTGACGAGATATTTCTATACATAATACTGTCTAACAACCAGGAAACGTTTTTGCTCTGTAAGGAAGTATTTTCGGCCTGAATAAGAAATTGATAAAATTAGCCAATCACTGGCATATTTTCAAAGTAAGGAACCCGTAGGTTCAAAGTTTTCAATATAAGAAAAGACAAACATTTCTATCAACTCACATGTTCTATCCTCTCACAACACCACTCTCAACCAACAACTACATTTTTAAGAAGGTTTATTAAACGTTGATTTCTCGAGATGCGCCATTTTAATAGTGTTGAAATACCGTTACAGCTATGTGTGAAGATCCGGGGATGCCTGCTAACGGGTTAAATGATGGACTAGGGGACCCATATACGTCATACAGCGTCATAACTTTCAGATGCGATGAAGGTTATGAGTTATCAGGTAGTAAGTCCGCTACATGCTACGACGGAAAATGGGATAACGACATACCGACTTGTCTTGGTAAGTACGTGTCAGATGCATTATGGGATAACGACATACCGACTTGTCTTGTTAAGTACGTGTCAGATGCATTATGGGGAAACGACATGCCGACTTGTCTTGGTAAGTACGTGTCAGATGCATTATGGGATAACGACATACCGATTTGTCTTGGTATGTACGTGTCAGATGCATTATGGCATAACGACATACCGACTTGTCTTGGTAAGTACGTGTCAGATGCATTATGGGATAACGACATACCGACTTGTCTTGGTAAGTACGTGTCAGATGCATTATGGGATAACGACATGCCGACTTGTCTTGGTAAGTAAGTGTCAGTGCATTATGAGATAACGACCTACAGACTTGTCTTGGTAAGTACGTGTCAGATGTATTACATCACATCATAACACGACACAACACAGTGAAAACAAAGATCGCAAATATCAATTTGATCAATAGATGACAATAAATCAATACAATTCTCGCAATTAATAATGAACAACGCCCCCGCTACTCAACGACAATATAGAAACATATTAAACAATTAGATATTACAAATTTAAAAATTTGTTATTTCTTGTCTTTCAACACCACCAATTTAAGTACGGGTAAAGGAAAGAAAGAATGAAGAAAAGAGGGCAGAATGAATAAATTTCAATCATAACTCTATTGTTTTTATCTGCGCAGCACCATGTCATTCATATTCAGAGAACAGTATTACAAGACTAGTGAGCTTTAATGATGTTGTGTCAATGAATGGTACAATAACACTCTATCACCACGGCAGTGCCATCATCATCACCTGCAATGCTGGATATGGTCAAATTGGTTCTGGTAGTTCCTTCTGCAATGATGGATCTTGGACAGATAGGTCTACTCAATGTATACTAGGTAAAATGCATAATCTGTACGTACTTATGTTATAAGTACGCATTAGACAATGACTCAAAAAATAAAAGATCTTAAACCTTTCGTAGAAGAGGCGCCTCCAACATGTTCAACAAGTGGTATGCAATTACTTGAATCAATAAATATATTGTTCATTGCAAGATGTCCCAAATTCAAATATAATTAAATAATTAAACATAAATAATTCCTGTACACAAAATTTTAGCTTGCCGAACATATTCATTTTCAGGTAGCAGGTAAAATTCCATGATCGATAGGGGAATTTTATATGAGTGGTAATCAGCATTGTGATTGGTACAGTTGTATTCTACCATCATTTGAAAGAAGATTTATAATATTTTATGTAAAACAACATCTTGCTTAGTCAATTTCATTGCATACGTTTGTTACATTAAGCAAGATGCTTATCAATTTAGAGGAGTGCTAACAAAATCCATCACTCTTGTGCCAAAACTCGCCAAGAACAAATGTTACACACCATTTAATCAGTCAGCTCAAAAATCATATATTTGGTTGCGGGTAAAACACGTGCAACATGTTGTTAATTTGTTTGCTTATCAATGACAGAGAAAACCCCTGCTCTATGACGCACCCTGATATAAAACTGCATGTGTTCGAGATGATGACGATAAACTATACTTTTACAGCTATATCAACTACTCCAAAAAGATTGATTACAACAATACAACCAACTGTTGCCAGAACACACTCTGTCGACGGTAACCTAACTTCGTCAATCACTGATGCATCTACAGCAGAAATGGAAGATGGATCTGTTGCAACTTTTACAACAACAGAAATTGAGACAATTTCTCAAGTAACTTTGAATACTAAAGAAGCAACAGAAAAGATTACAGGTATGTATTTCCCAACCCAGATTGCAGATATGACAATAATTTCTGAGACATCATTAGCTATGCCAGAACGTACCAGTGCAATATTTACAGACATTATTACAAAACTCCACCCAACAGAAACAGAAGTCACACAACAAATGACACCACAAATGACAACACAACTACTTCTGAAATTGCTACTAGTGAAGAAACAACACAAACAATAATTGAAATAAGTGAGACAGTAACAACAGAAAAAATGACATATCAAATAAACATCTCTAAACCAAATTTAGATGAGACAACAACACCAATTCAAATATCTCCTGATTTGATTACAAATGTGCATACTATAGAAACAGCAATTATTACATCAAGCCAAGCAACAGATGATACAATCACTGATGACTCTATTTTTATTACAGATGAACCAACAATACAACATACAGTTGGTTCGACAAACCCTTCTGAAACTACTTTTACAATAACTCAACCTATGACTGACACATCTGCAAAATCGATAGAAGTTCTCTATACCATAGGAACTAAGCCAACATACCATACGTCAGATGAGACAATCAGTCATGATACCATTTCTGTTATTGATGAAGCAACAACTCAACCAATGATGATAATATCAACAGACACAATAACAGTATTAATAACTGATCAAACCACAGAAATGACCATCACTCATGAAGCTACTTCAGTTGTTGAAGAAGCATCAACTCAAACTATGCCTGGGCCATCTACGGACTGGATTGCAGAACATAATACTACAGAAACTGTGTCAATAAAAAAAGAACAAACTACAGAAGAAACACTCACGTATAAGGTCACTGATACAGATACAATTAAACCTATGACAGAAAAATCAACAGAATGGACGGAAGGATTTTACACTGCAGAAACTTCAATAACAGAACAAACTGCAGACGAGACAGTCAATTCCGCCACTGATAAAGAGACAACTCAACTTGTGACTAGAAAGTTTACAGAATGGGGAACAAAAGTGTATAATACAGAAACCGATTCAATAACAGAACAAACTGAAGAAACAGTAATTACTGATAAAGCCACTTTTGTCATTAAACCTATGACTGGAGCATCTACACAATGGATTACAGAACTGTTTACCATAGAAACTGATTTAATAACAGAACAAACTGAAGAAATCACTGATAAAGTCATTTCTCTCACTGAACTCGTGACAGAAACACGGATTACAGAACTATATACTGCAGAAACTGAATCAATAACAGAACACACTGCAGACTCGACAACCACTAATGATATAACTTCTCTCACTGATCCAGGAATTACTCAACCTATGAAAAGAGCATCTACAGAATGGATTACTGAACTATATACTGCAGAAACTGATGCAATAACAGAACAAACTGCAGACTCGACAACCACTAATGATATCACATCTATCACTGATCCAGGAATTACTCAACCCATGAAAAGAGCATCTACAGAATGGATTACTGAACTATATACTGCAGAAACTGATGCAATAACAGAACAAACTGCAGACTCGACAACCACTAATGATATCACTTCTGTCACTGATCAAAAAATTACACAACCCATGACAAGAGTATCTACAGAATGGATTACTGAACTATATACTGCTGAAACTGATTCAATAACAGAACAAACTGAAGACTCGACAACCACTAATGATATCACTTTTGTCACTGATCAAGGAATTACACAACCCATGACAAGAGCATCCACAGAATGGATTACTGAACTATATACTGCAGAAACGGATTCAATAATAGAACAAACTGCAGACTCAACAACCACTAATGATACACCTTCTGTAACTCATCAAAGAATAACTCAACCCATGACAGGAGCATCTACAGAATGGATTACTGAACTGTATACTGTTGAAACTGATTCAATAACAGAACAAACTGCAGACTGGACAACCACTAATGATATCACATCTATCACTGATAAAGGAATTACACAACCCATGACAAGAGCATCTACAGAATCGATTACTGAACTATATACTGTT